GAAAAACAGTTTGGAGATTCCTCAAAAAATTAAAAATGGAACTACCATTTGACCCAGTGATCTCACTTCTAGGAATATATTCACTGTTGTATTACTATTGTTTTATTATTGTTACCTTTCTAAAATCATCTCCTACCTCTCTTCCCATTGAGGACTCTACTCCAGCTGCACTGGCTTTGCATTTGAAAATATCAAACCCCCTTCTATCTCAGGACTCTTGAAATTGCTCTTGTGTCCTTCTGGAAAACTCTTCCTGTAAATACCCACTCAGCTTACTTCCTATTCTGTGAGAAATAATGCTTACAATAAGTTTCACTGTTTAAAATCTAGGATTTCCTTTATGCATAAATATTTCTCAATCATATTCCGTATCATAGATTTGTGTGGAGGATAAAGAAGCACAATACATTTGGCCCTGTCTAAACAGTTTTGTTAAGAAAGCAAATACACCATCATGTGTCTGTTTTCAGAAAAGGCACAGGCTTCTGTACCTGAGGCATATGGTCTCTTTGATAAATAGCCAGATCCTGAAAGGACAAAATGGTACTGTGGTTACTGAATGGCCATGGGACCTGCATGTGATTTTAAAATCACTATAATGGCATATATTTTAGTTCACCAGTTAAGGATGTTTTAGACATTAATAAATGGACTGTGGGAGGGTGGGGGGCATGCAGCATTGATTTGCAAAGAAAAAATGGATGGTGGTCGTGGGCTCCTTTTTGGCACAGCAGTATTAACTTCTCACTTGCTTCGAATTCTTGAGTCAGACATCCTTATGTCTTTCCCCTTCGTTTAGATCTGTGCTCAAATGTTATCTCATCAGAAAGACCTTCCCTATCGGAAGGAGTATCCCTTCTTAACTCTCTTCCTTCTGTGTTTTTTTTTTCCTTCCTACTACTACTTAACTATAATATTTTGGATTTTTTTAAAATTTCTTTTTCTTAGTCCTCGAGCAAGGAAATGTCCATTGATTTTTAGACATAAAGGAAGGGAGAGAGAGACAGAAAGAGAGAGAGAGCTACATCAATGTGAGAGAAACATGGACCAGTTGTCTCCCATATGCACTGCGACGGGGGATCAAACCCACAACCTAGGTATGTGCCCTGACCTGACCTGGGATAGAACCTGCAACCAAAGTCAACAACACTTTTTTTCTTTAACCTGAATTAGTTGAGAGAGAGAGAGAGGAATGAAGAGAGAGAGAGAGAGAGAGAGAGAGAGAGAGAGAGAGAGAGAGAGATCTGAGAGTAAAACATAGATGGCTGCCTCGTGCACACCCCCCACTGGGGATCAAGTCTCCAACCTGGCCATGTTCCCTGTCTGGGAATTGAAATGGCAACCTTTTAATTCACAGGAGGACACAAATCCAACTGAGTCACTTTTTTATATAAGAAACAAACTAAATAAAAAGACACCATTTGTAATAGCAATAAATCTATAAAATCACTAAAAATTAGCAAAAGAAAGAATATATAAGAATTCTATAAAGAAATTATAAAAACTATTAAAAATTACAAAAGTATTTTTATTAATTGGATTTTATGAGAGGAGTTATTATAAAAGCACATCTCTTTAAATTATTCTATAACTTCCATATATTTCTAATGAAATTCAAGTGGATTTTTGGAGAAAATTAGTAAACTTTTAAAAATATTACATAAATATTTACATATCTCTAAAACATTTTTAAAAGAGAGCAAAAGTTTATTCACAACAGAATAAAGTCTTGAATGCAAAAGTTAATACTAAAAGTTAGTAGCATATAATATATAAAGATACCTTTATGACCTACTAGCGATAAATTATTTCTTAAACTAAATTCCCATATTAAAAGCTCTAGAATCTTATTTAGAAATGCACTATGGGGGTTTGGTCCCCCATTCTCCATGCACAAGACTTGACTTCTTTGTTTTTTATTTGTCACTGTGGCTAGACTTTATTTATTTTTCTACTTTTTCTTTTTTTTAAATTCTTTATTGTTTAAAGTATTATATATAGTATACTGAGTGGCCAGATTATTACGACCACCTGATGTTTGTAGGCAAATTAGCTATAATTTCACGCTGAAGTTGCTAGAGGGCCAGACCATTATAAATAGGGAAGCAGGTTGTTTACCAAGACAGAAGTGATTTGTTTTTCTGAAGATATGGGTAAACAATGCGATTTAACAGCCTTTGAACGTGCACACACGCACACACACACATATATATATATCGAGAGAGAGAGAGAGAGACTTGACTTCTAAGGTCTTGGCCCAACCCAAGGGTCTGTCACTAAGTCAGGCCCTGCCAGGCAGGGTTCTTGTTTTTTTCCACCCTTTGGAGGACAGAAATGGGCATATCCAGGTTATGGGCAAGCAGCACAAACTGTTCTACTGTTTTGCATATTGTCCTTCTGTACACAAACTGTATAAAATTCATGTATTTTTTTTTGCAAGAAAACAATAACTAAATTAAAAGTGAAAATTGTTGAATTTTATGTTATAAAATGAAGGCTTTCTCTTTTATAAAAATGAATGGTTGTAAAATTTAGGGAAGGTTTTGGAATGCTAAAATAAAAAATATATATACACACACAAAGAGTAATATGGAATGGTCTTTAAAGAGTGTTGAGTAAAACACATTAATACATAAAGCATGCATATAGTAAAAAAATAAAGGACACTGAGTAAGGTAGTTAGGGGGAAGCAAAAATATAGTTAGTAGATGAGAAAGACACAAAGAAAATGACAATTGAGTTCAGGTCTCTGATGCCAGGGATACTGATATATGCATACTCACAGTGTGGGGTCATGATAGAGAGATGTTCTTAAATGAAGTACATATACTTATAATTCAATTACATAGAATGTATTTGGGTTTTTTTAATCTCCAAACTTCTATATTAATATAACTGTAATAACTTGGCTTTAATATCTATTTTAGGAATAACTGCAGATTATCCAGTTATATTACATGTTATAAATTTAGTCCATTCTCTATTTCATGCAATATTTGTAGAAAGAAGGATGGCTTAAAGAACATCACTTTGCCCTAAGTGTCAGAGCCCATATTGTACCAGTGTGGTAATTCACACTGACTGCCATTTTTGTTTGTTTGTTTGTTTGTTTGTTTGTTTTTAACTACTACAAGAGTTCTATTTTGGGGATGGAAGGCTGTTGCCAACTAATCAGAATCCTTTCCTCCTGCGCCCGTATCTTGTTGAAGACAGGCATTAGAAAAGCTTGACATAAGAGAGCTCCGTTTCAAATCCTCCTTAACCAAGACATAATTTAGAATGGCCAATGATAAATTAATAAGCCATTATATTTCAGTTAATAAGATACTCAATTCACCCTTCTCTTCTGCTTAAAATATCCCTGGCACATCAGTAAAAGCACTTCCTGTTTATTTTAAGAAAATATTAACTTTCCACTTTAACCATAGGATAATTAACAGACATTTATTTAGAACACGGAAACTATCAGAAATAAAATAAAAAGAAATATTTTTTAAAATATTATTTGGTAACACTTTATATTTGATATTTTATCCAGCATTTAATTTTAGCAACTCATTTATTATAAATATATTTTCATGCTGGAAAATGAAATCAGGGATCCTCAAAAAATTTTTTTAGACCAGAGTGGATAATTTAAATTTCTCTACAAGAGAGTCAAATGTGTTAAATATTAACCTCCAAATTCTGCAGTTTTTAAAATGGATATTCATGGTGAGGAGAGATAATTTGAAGATCTGCTGAATCTAAAAATGTGGATTATATATTACTTTGAAAGTCCAATTAGTTGTACTAAATACAATCTGCAATCCCAACAATTATATAGCATTTTGGGAGGTAATCACAAAAATATTTATGACAATTCTTTAATACACACTTTGTCATTTCACACTTTGTCATTTGCATGTTTACATTTCAACAAGAAGACCGAGTTCCTATAAAGGCATCTTTTCACTCACTTGATTTGTCCTTTGCCATATATTGTAGAGTTGCTTTTTCTATTGGTATTATGTTTTGAATTTATAAAAGAAAGAAATTGTCAGGCAGATATATTGGAAAAAATTATATCTAGAAGCAAATAAGCCATTTCTTATATACTTATGTAGAGACACATTTATCAAATATACAGATTTCCAAATAAATATAGTTTCATGCCAAACTGTTATACATAGTAAAGCATACCCCAAAAACTTATTTTTCCAAAGCTCTTTTACAATTTCATTATGTTGCCAAGATGAAGAGGGAACAATTTTCTCCCACTCAAACAATAAAGGTAAAGTTAAATATTTTGTAAATTATCCTGAAATTATACTTTTAAAAATCATTTCCTGTTCCATTCAATGTCCTGAAATAATTAACATAATTACATTTCCTACTTTAACATCTCTCTGCTCTGAGCAACATTTTATTACCTGCTTTATGTAAAATGTTTTTTATGATTACAAACTAGCTATGAGACTAATACAACTTGAGGTAAATCTCAAATGCCAAAGGAAGCTGTCCCGTGTTCTCACATAGATAACATTTATAAATCGTCAATATAGCAACTATGCACTACGGAGCCGATAAGAATGTGCTGAGCCGTATGAGGTTTTATTTTGTCAGAATTGGCTTAACTCACAAAGTAAAAAGAGTTCTATGTGATTCACTACACTTTTGCAAATAATCACTATTTGAACATCCAAGCTACAAAGGATAGTTTCAAAAAATTAGTACTTATAGTAAACATCTCTTAGAACTGAAACAGAATTCTTAATGGAATCAGAATGACACTGGAGAAGTAAAATCACAACCCTAAAATATATTCCCTATCGATTGTGAAAAGGTGTTATTACTGTTTTCTTCATAGACTTAGGAGGGGGGATGTTTCTTGGAGATCCTGATTGACTATATATAAATCAGAGATTATTATAGCCCTTTTATTGAAACACTAAGTGAGAGTTTTAGAGGATAAGATAACCTAGGCTAGGATTTTCAATTATGCTAACGAAAACTCCTACCTGGCAGTAGACTCGCCTGTACTTTCATCAGCCATCATCTCCAAATCTTGTGAGTGTTTCTCACAAGCTCTTTTGAACAAATTCTCCTCTGGAACTGCTTTAGGAGTATCTTCATTTGCTCGAAGATGTTCTATCAGGTTCTGTGGGTGCCAATTCTGAAGCACTCTTTGATGGGCAGGGGCCAGTCCTGGCACTGGTGGCAATATGTTGTGGTGGACAGGACTATTGCTCTTCTTCAGTCCGTTTCTGTCCCGAGAGTGGTTCTTCAACCTGCCCTGAACCTGGGTCCCTCTATGCTCATATCCTTCCTGCTGAAGGCAGTTTCCAGGGTTGGAAGAACCTTGAGAAGGATGACTAAACCACCTCCAGCGTAGCCGTAGGATCTGTTTCACATCAAACTCTTTCTTGCCAGACATTGACATTGTTGCAGGAGGAAAGACAAAAGCCTTCTCTCACAGAAAGGAAACGGAGCCTTTGTTATCTCTGGTTTCTCTGCCTCTTCTGTTGAACTAACAAAAGCACAAGTGCCTAGAGCAGCCTTTTCTTGTTTCCCCCCCTCCCCCGCTGCCTGCTGCCTGTGCTGCACAGAGAATACTTCTAGCTTTCTAGCTGCAAAGCTGCAGCTAACAGTGTAGGTGGGAACCCATACTGACAGGATGATGAGGTCAGACCTTAAACAAGTAAATCAGCTTAGCACAGGAAAGCAACTACCACAACACACTCCAGCTGCTAATGTGCATGCTCACTCACAGCCCTTCCCTCCTGGACTTGCAAATATTGAACCCAGCTTCTTCCTTCCCGAGTTACAGTAGCCAAGGCTTAAAACCAAGCGTGTGAGCAAAAGCAAAGTGTTTAAACTCACTTCCTTCTAGAGTCCCTTCACTCACCCCACCCCCTGCCAGATTCTTTTCCCAGTAGCTCACTTCTAAAACTGTGCCACTTTGTCCTGGGAGAATTTGTAACAGCGAATTCATTATGATCTATTTTGGGGATCTTACAGAAATTTTGAAGGTGGTTTATTAAGGGAAAGTATCTTGCCATCAGTCCCCTCATTCAGGTTTGCCATTATTTTTACAATGCATCTGAAAATGTGAATGTCTTTACATAAATATTTGCTTGAAAACCTGAAGAGTTTTAAAAATATAAGAAAGTGTTTTCTAATCTTGTTAGCTTAGAAGAGATGTATTTTCTCGGTGACCAAAACTTGAAAATAAATAGTCCATTCTGATTCCATGCCTGTAAAAACATCTCCTTATCATGGTCTTCATTTTCATAGGCAGTGTTAAAGGCCTATTTTTTTTTAAGTTCTTATGAGAGGATGCAAAACAACATGTTTTGAATTAACTCCAAATTGACACATAACTCAGTAATAGCTGTGCACGAAGTACTTTGAGATCTGAATCAGAATTACCAGTAGCACAGAGGTAGATGTTTTACAACATGAAATTCATCAATCCCATCTTGAAATTTAGTTTGAATTTTATCCAGATTTCCTGTCTTGCATGCAGGTGATAAGGGGGCAATTATATCAGTGTATCCTTAGAAAGAATATTGAAGCTATACGGTTTTGGTTTTAATTCTGGCTTTAGGGTTAATGAGATGTATAATCTTGGACAAGTCACTTACTTCATTGCATCACAGTTCCTTCATACATAATATGGAGAGCCTGAATAGATTTCCAAAGTTTTAACTTGCAATGCATTTTTAAATCTTGGAAATAGAGAATGAAATGAGTATCTTTTTCTATATTGGTAGGTGTTTTACCTGCAGGTTTCTATAAATGCAATTATACCTTTCTCTTATATCCCCACTTGTTTTGTAGGTATAATGGGAAATTAATATGTCAACCAACATGACTGGGCTACGGGTGCTCAGATATTTGATCAAACATTATTTTGGTTGTTTCTGTGTGAGTGTTTTTGGATGTGTTTAACATTTCAATAAATAGACTGAGTAAAGTAGATAGTCCTCCCTAGTGTGGGTAGGCCTTAGCCAAGCAATTGAAGGCCTGAATAAACAAAAGGCTGACCCCTCTCCGAATAAGAGGGAATTCTTCCTGCCTGATTACCTTCAATCTGAGATATCATCTTTTTTTTTCCTGACTTCAGACTCAAATTGAAATATTGGTTCTTCCTGGGTTTCAAGCCTCCTGGCTTTTGGAGTTGAATTATACCATCAGCTCTTCAAGGTCTTCAGCTTGCTGATAGCAGATCATGAGACTTGCCCGCCTCCATAATTATGTGATCCAATTCACTATAATAAAACAATCTCTTTCTTTCCTCTCGCTCTCTACACTGCACACACATCCTATTGTTTCTATTTCCCTGGAGGACCCTCACTGATACAGTAGGTTTTTTCTAGTACTAAAAATTAATAAACGTTGATAAATATATAGTTGATTTTTATACCACTTGCAAACAATTTATTGCCATCTCCAACTTTCCAACCTATTTACCAACAGGTTTCTTAAGCCTCAGTGTTAGCATCTATTATCATCACTTCTTGGTGAGTGTGTTTTCCCTTCATAGTATTTAGCATGTAAATAATTAGAAAGGATCTCAAATAGTTCTCAAATTGATGAGCCCCAGGCATATCAATGAGTCCTGATAACAAAACATCAATTGCCTTTCTATTATCTGGGGAGGGAACATTCCAAGAAAACTCCTTGAAGTTAATATCTGTGTTTTAGACCTTTGTGTTCCGCACTGTGCCCAAAACACAATGTTGGCCATTGAGTAAGCAAACTGTAGAGAGCAGTCAGAATAAATACAATATTATAATAGATTGAAAATAATGTGTCCTAGGCACAAGAATAATAACTAAATTGGCCATCTAAGTAGCTCAAAATAATATATTCTGGGCCACCAAGAGTCTGAATTATTTTTCTATTACATTTCCCTGAGATTATGATTAAGATAAAATTGCATATTTCCCTGTGTACCTTTTACAGTAAGATACTGACACTTGTCACTATCTAAACATCGATAGAACAATATATGATTCTATAGAGAATGTGCTTTTAAAAAATATGCAGATTATGGCCAAGCTCCAGTGGCTCAGTGGTTGAGCATCCACCTATGAACCAGGAGATCAGGGATTGAGTCTCAGTCAGGGCACATGCCCGGGTTGTGGGCTCAATCCCCAGTAGGGGGCATGCAAGAGGCAACCAATCAATGATTCTCTCATCATTGATGTTTTTATATCTCCCTCTCCTTTCATCTTTGAAATCAATAAAAATATTTTTAAAATAAAAATACAAAACATAAAAATATGCAGATTATGGACATTTTCCTGGATCTTGGACACAGAATTGTGGAATGACTAAGAAAGTATATAGATCTAGAAAATTATTGAAGAGAATAATATTTTATGAAGCATAAGGGTTTCTCTTAAATTTTTGTCTATGAAAGAAAGATTCAAACATATTCAAACAGAAATAAAGACGGTGTCTGTGAGGGTAGAACAATATCTTATTTACCTTTTCTTTTCCTTTGCCTTATTATCTACTTGAAACCAAGTAACTAATATATGTAGAATTAATGAATAACAAGTTCTAAAAGAATTTATTGTCACATAAGTTTATTGTCTCAATATGTGCTAGAATTTTTTTTACATTTTTTATTAAAGTATAGTGGACATAAAATTATATTAGTTTCAGGTGTACAACATAATGATTTGACATTTGTACAACTTACTATATTATAACCACAATAAGTCTAGTAACCAACATATGTCACCATACAAAGTTATTATGATATGATTGACTATTTTTCATATGCTGTACATTACATCCTTGTAATTTATTTTATAACTGAAAGTGTGTACCTCTTATTCCCCTTTACCTTTTTCACACATCCTCCCGCTACCCTATTATTCGGTAACCATCAGTTTGTTCTCTGTATTTATGAGTCTGTGTCCATTCTTAAATGAAACTGCAAAATGTTTATGAGCTAAAATGCCCTTCTAGATAATTAATGATTATACAATTGGGAAACAAACCTGTAAACCAGTTGAAAAATCCTGGCAACTTAGCAGCCGTGTGCTCTCTTGATGTATTCTGAGTCAAATGCTGACCAGAAAATTAAATTAGTCACTACTAGGACACCTCAAAATTTAACATTATTCAAATGTACCTAGGAATACTTTTTTTCCTATAATTATCTGAGTACATGACTTAAAGAAAAATAATGCAGTCGTAGACATCTGTGCATTAAAAGCTGCACATCAATAACTTATCATAGTCCGGAGATGGAACTAGTCACTTGGCACAAGCCACATTGGGCAGCACTAAAATTATTTTTTTTTTTAAAAAGCAGTACAGGCATACCTCAGAGATATTGTGGATTTTGTTCTTCTCAATAACTTGCTGCAGCTTCTATATCAGCACTTGGTGCTTCACGTTGCACTTTTATTACATTCTGAAGATGACTTCTTTCCTAAAACCTCAAAAACCAACCTCTGCTGGCTTTAAGCTTTTCTTTTGCAGCTTCCTTCCCGTTCTGAGCCTTTAAAGAATTGAAGAGATTTCGGGATGTGGCTCTGGATTGGACATTGGTTTATGGTAATATTGTGGCGAGTTTAATATTTTATCCAAGCTGCTACAACTTTTTCTACATCAGCAATGTCTGTTTCATTTTCTTATCATTTGTGTGTTCACTGAAGTAGCACTTTTCATGTCCTTCAAGAACTTTCTTTTGAGTCACAACTTGGCTGACACAAGAAGCCTAGCTTTTGGTCTATCTCAGCTTTTGACATGCCTTCCTCACTAAATCAATTATAGCTTTTGATTTAAATTCAGAGACATGCAACTCTTCCTTTCAACTGAATATTTAGAGGCCATTGTAGGGTTATCAATTGGTCTCATTTTAATATTGTTTTATCTCAGGGAATAGTGAAGCCCAAGGAGAGTGAGAGAGATGGGGAGATGGGCCCTCAGTGGAGCAGTTAGAACACACATAACATATATTGATTAAATCCGCTGTCATATGAGCATAGTTGTTGGCAGCCAGAAACAATTACATAGTAACATCAATGATCACTGATCACAGATCACCATGACAAGTATAATAATCACAGATCACCATGCTAAGTATCCTATATAATAAAGAGGTAATATGCAAATTAACCCTCATGCCCTCACAAGATGGCTGCCTACGACCAGGCCGGCCGTGGGGTTAGTGAAGGACAACCAAACAACTGAACAAGCAGGCTTCATGGGGTGACCAGGCCAGCAAGGGGATTAGTGAGGGATGACCAAACAACTGAACAAGCAGGCTGCGTGGGACGACCAGGCCGGCTGAACAGCAGGCTGTGTGGGGCAACCAGGCCAGCAGGGGGGTTAGTGAGGGACAACCAAATGACTGAACAGCAGGCTGCATGGAGTGACCTGGCCGGCGGTGGGGCTGTGAGGGGCAACCAGGTCGGCGGGAGGGGGGGCGGCAGTTGGGGGCGACCAGGCCGGCAAGGGGTCAGTAAGAGGCGACCAGGCCGGTGGGGGAGGGGGCAGTTAGGAGCAACTAGGCTGGCGGGGATGGTGCAGCAGTCGGACATCCCCTGAGGGGTCCCGGATTGGAGAGGGTGCAGGCTGGGCTGAAGGGACCCCCCTCCCATGCATGAATTTCATGCACTGGGCCTCTAGTAATAATAATAATAAAGTTTGAAAATTGTGAAAATTACCAAAATGTGACATAGATTCACAAAGTGAGCAAAAGTTCTTGGAAAACTGCCACAGGTAGACTTGCTCAATGCA